CCCCCCCCAGTGTCTCAGCGGTAAGCTTGTGGGTTTATGACACTAAAATTCGGATTCCGAAACCCGTGGTGGGCAGAGTGCAGATAACTTTTTGTGTATTCGTTCGTTTGTTTGAAGTTAAGCACAAAGCTACACAAGGGGCTACTTGTGCTCTGTCCACCATATGTATTGAAACTCAGTTTCTAGTTTTGTAAGTCCGCAGATATACCGCTGTGCCACTGCGGAGGGGGGGGGGCTTTGTGTAGTTTTGTGCTTAACAATTTTGGGTTGCTTATTTTTAGAGCAAAGCCACATAGAACTATCTGCCGTGTCCACAGCGGAGAATCGAACTCAGGATTATAACGTTTTAAGTCTGTAGACTTACTGCTGTCCCACCAGGATAGGTTCTTAAGAAACAAACAAATAAACAAAAAAGAGCAAAACAAACATATACGTATATCTATATATATACATCCAAAATAATCGTAAATCACGTCTATTTGATATTTACTTTTGTAATAAAAATACAAAGGAAACGTTTATCATATTAGGGTTTCGGAGAACGTTTCAGAGTTGGTTAATAGTGTAATTAATATATTCGTTGATACTACTTCTTTAGTGTCAAAACCATTAAAACACCTTATTCTGTCGACGATGCTGCTTTCAGGTGAACAATACAGAACTTAGGTACACATTCTCTGAAATTAGTTCTCCATATTATGCTATTCACTAGTTGTGTGGTAAAAACATGTTTAATCTGTAACACTGTTATCTACCTAAAAAGATGCATCATCATAAGGACATCGAGACAATTAATAAGTTTGGAACGTTACCTTCTAATAATAGCTCCATTTCATTCACATTTACCTTTTCTTTTTGATTCTCAGCTTCCAATATAAACACACTTCCCTTCTGTCGAAGATAAACTTCTTTTTATAAACCTTCGTGTTGAGAATACTGTAAATCCACTCTGCTGCTCTTGGCGTGTTTAACTTTGATCAGTGGTAGCAGAACAGTCGAAGATCCTTGGCTGCAGAAATTAGGAACTGGTGGTACTATCATAACAAGACAAAAACTTATCTTTCTGGGCTACTAAAAAAGATAAAATAGCACCTTTATACTGTTATACGTCATATTAGCTTTGCTCCAGTCTCAGCTACAATAAGTCTCGTACGTCGGAATGGTTTTAAATAAGGCATTTTTAGTACCTGAATGTGACGTTGTGGTGCTAGAAAACATAATCATAACAAAAGGTTTCTTAGACAAACTTCTAGTGAAAACTTTTTTCAATATTTAAATATAGTTCTTTGACTTATTTTGTAGTTCAAAGATCATAGAATGTGGTGATGGATTGTGTCGAAGTTCAATAACAGCTGAATGAAATCCAATAACAATTGACGTTTGATATTTTGAACTATGTTCATCACTTGTTATTTATCCTCAGAGATTAAAACGTGTCCTTGTGTAGAGTTTCGTGTTGGAACCATTTTCTTGGAGATATTAGTTTAGGAAAAAAGTCGAAACCTCTTTGAGTTCAATCACTTATATGACTTACTATCACAATTGCTGGTTACGCTAGGACTAAAGTGGACAGCGCCCGCACGGTTTAGATGTTATTGTTATTTCAAACACACGAGTCGTTATCTCCTATTTTCATTGATATCCACGGTGTTTTAAAAATAATATCTCGATGTTTACTCACACAACGGTAAGTGACATTACCTACTTATACAGCTAAGTTATATATAATTTTCGAAATGTCTGTTTGTTTGTTTATTTGTTTTTTTCTAATTTGGCACAAAGCTACACGAGGGCTACCTGCGCTACCCGTCCCTAATTTAGCAGTGTAAGACTAGAGGGAAGGCAGCTAGTCATCATCACCCACAGCCAACTCTTGGTATACTCTTTTACCAACGAATGGTGGGATTGACCATAAGGTTATAACGCCCCCACGGCTGAAAGGGCGAGCATATTTGGTGTGACTGGGATTCGAACCCGCGACCCGCAGATTGCAAGTCGAGCGCCCTAACCACCGAAATGTTTGTCTGTCTGTATCCCAACTTCAGTTAAAGATTATCTCTAAAAATATAATTCATTTTTTAATTGTCATTTCATGAAATATATACGTGAAAAGCGTAGAAACGTAAAACGAAATATTTTACTGCTTGAAAAGTGTAGCTACTCTGATAGTTTTGTAATTATAAACTACATTAGACAGGTAGAGGTGCTCAGAAATGTTTTTATGAATAGAAGTCGCACCACTCACTCGACGTATCACGCTCTCGTGTTTCTGAAGTGGAATTGTTATCATCATAGATACTGAGTAAACAATGCTAATCAGCAAGGTTGAGGCAGTTATTCATGAAGGCTGGGTTGGTTGGTATGATAAATCTGTTATCCACTTTAAGCTTTACAAATTGATTTTGTACACCCACATCAATGGGATCCAGTTCCAGTTCTCTAACATGAAAAGAGTGTTTGGGTGTTGAACATATTCATAACAAATTAGAAGTATTTCGGTATCATTGTATTTTAACGGGTTTTATTGTTCGTTTTGCTTACTCGGTAAAAGTAGTTCACAGTTCTGTCCACTTAACGTTAACCACTTATTTCAATAATGTTCCGGTCTGGCAAGGCTTGGTGGTTGTGACATTCGACTTGCAATATGTGGGTTGCAGTTTCGAATCCCATCACCGAACATGTTCGCTCTTTGAGCCACAGAGGCGTTATAATGTAACGGTCAATCCCACTATTCGTTGGTCAAAAGTATCCCAAGAGATGGTGATCGTTGGTGTAGACTAGATGCATTCCCTCTAGTCTATCACTTCAAAATTAGGAATGGCTAGCTCAGATAGCCCTCTAGTACCTTTGTGAGAAATTCGCCAAACGAACAATAATTTTTTAGAGACTATATTCGCTGGTAGGCCTAAGTTCACAAATAACATTTCAACATAAATTCTGAAACGAATGATACACCTAACTCATTACTAAAAGCTTACTTGCTAAATGTTTTGTCATATCTACGATACAACTTAAAACTGGCTGAATAATACATACTACAATCAATCTATCATACAGTGATAGATTCCTTGACCATGGATTTCCAGACTTTTTCAGTACAAGGCCACCAGAATTTTCTGCATCTTGTATGGGGAATCCACACAGTGAACCTATAGATACCGAGTACTGTATACTATTGTGTATTTGCTACAGCTTCATGATACTTTCCTGTGGCCCCCCAGTTTAGGAACCACTGCACTAACTAACTAATAAACTGACTAATTCGCTGATTGAATGATTTCTCTTTAATTTACTCTATGATTAACCCAGTGTTTAATTTTCTGGCTTTTTGTCTGAATAACTTTCTCACTGAGAATTAACTCACTCACGCCAGTTTGTATATAATGCTTGTTTTTCTATACGCGTCAAAGGTTCGAAACATCACGTGAGGCCTATATATTCATGAAACTTCTAGGCGTCATACCAAAAAAGCCCTCTAGCTACCAAAACATCTAACTTAAAATATTAAAACACAGCCTACAACAACTGAATCAATTTGACTCTAAAAGGTATACACACAAAACAAGAGATACCCAATAACAGGTATGGTCTCTTTGACATTGAAACAGTTTATATTGTTGCGTCAGCGAAGTCACATGACTAGTGTCACACCACGTTTCTAGAACTATCCTGTACCTTGGCGAATGCTCTAGCATTTACTAGATATAGGGTAGTCTGGTATATAAAAGAGGGTGTCAACGTGATGGAATAATAATGTGTGTGTAGATAGTGAGTAATTGAACTGCACTCAGAAGTATTGTTGACGTTCGTTGATATAGCGTTTGTTATAGAGCGACTGTTGAAAATAAGTGTATCGTAAAGTTGTATTCGGAAAGAATAAACCAGTTTTATTAAGTAAGGACTTGTGTCGCTAAAGTTTCGTCGGAAAGAAGTTACGGAAAATCAATCAACAAACGGAGACGTAACAATATATTGGCGGAGAATCCTGTAATCAGTCAGTAGACGACGTTATGGAAGCACATTTGGTATTATCAATATCATATGTTATGGAGCGTGGTGAGTTAAGGCGGTGGCGCCCCGAGCGACCGAAAACGTTCCAGGAGCATTCTGTGAGATTTACATCAGGTTTTCAAGCTGATAAGCTCATGATTTTTATAGTTTCTTGATCAAGATAGTCAGTTATAATGCTGACTGTATGACATTGTGCATTATCCTACACATGGACAAAGTCTGATACGATTGCCTTAGCAAAAGGTCGTACAACTGAGTCCAATAACACGTCAATATATCGAAATGGCGTATTTAAGTGTTTTACACTCAGAAAAAAACAAACCTATCATTCTATAGGTATTTGAAGAACTTGTAGAATTCCGTCACAGTTTAATTCTTCGTATTGTTAGCCGATACTAGGCAGCGGGTACATAATTAAAGAGTGTTGTTTAAACATTTGTTTAACAACAAATAAAAGCTTGGAATGGTCTATTCTTTCATTAGGGGTGTGTCTGTAGGACAGACTAGTTTCGGAGAATTCCACTCCTCTTCAGTGACCCTGGACATGTTTTAATTAGACAGTCGGATTCCCCCGGTCCGTGCTAGTCTGAGTCGGCTATTAGTTGTTGGCCGAAACGGTCGAGTCAGGCGGGAACCCGGCACGCCGAGCAGCTGAAGCCTTTAACGAGAAGGTCCCGACGCTGGTGCGGGCTTGACCGAGACGTCGAAGGCTAGCCTCGCACAGTCCCGGTGCAGTACCACACCCGAAGAGTGGATGAGGAGTGGAATTCTCCGAAACTAGTCTGGCCCACAGACACACCCCAATGAAAGAATAGACCATTCCAAGCTTTTACTTGTTATTAAACAAATGTATAAACAACACTATTCAAACATCAATATATCGTAATACAGTAGCTTCCCCTATGAAACCAAAATATATCCTAATACAGTAGCTTCTCCTAAGAAACCAAAATATATCGTAATACAGTAGCTTCTCCTAAGAAACCAAAATATATCGTAATACAGTAGCTTCACCCATGAAACCACTATATATCGTAATACAGTAGCTTCACACTTGAAACCACAATATATCATAATACAGTAGCTTCACCCATGAAACCCCTATATATCGTAATACAGTAGCTTCCCCTATGAAACCAAAATATATCGTAATACAGTAGCTTCACCCTTGAAACCACAATATATCGTAATACAGTAGCTTCACCCTTGAAACCACAATATATCGTAATACAGTAGCTTCACCCTTGAAACCACAATATATCGTAATACAGTACCTTCACCTATGAAACCACTATATATCCTAATACAGTAGCTTCACCCTTGAAACCACAATGAATCTGTACGCCCATTCATTCTGATACATCCTAAACCATAATTAAACTGCCTCTGAAACCTTCGTATCCAATGATGAAGACTTGAAAATATCCACCTACATGTTTTCAGATATTACCCTGTCGAGTATTCGCACAAACATGAAATCAGAACTCATCTACAATGACGTTATTGCCAATTTTGGTGATATCGACGAAACTTCAAACACGGTACGCGATCAACAGTTACTGTGGATACAAATACCCTTTAGGAAAATCGACTGTGATGCTATCTGCACAAGTACGTACACTGTGTGCTTTCAGTTAAACATCCTCTAGGAGAATAGACTGTGATTCTATCTGCACAAGTACGTGCAGTGTGTGCTTTCAGTTAAACATCCTCTAGGAGAATAGACTGTGATTCTATCTGCACAAGTATGTACACTGTGTGCTTTCTGTTAAACATCCTCTCGGAAAATCGACTGTCATTCTATCTGCACAAGTATGAACACTATGTGCTTTCAGTTAAACACCCTCTAGGAAAATCGAGTGTGATGCTATCTGCACAAGTATGTACACTATGTGCTATCTGTTAAACACCCTCTAGGAAAATCGACTGTGATGCTATCTGCACAAGTATATACACTGTGTGCTTTCAGTTAAACACCCTCTAGGAAAATCGACTGTGATGCTATCTGCACAAGTATGTACAGTGTATGCTTTCTGTTAATTTGTCACAATAAAGAAGTGTTTGTTTATTTTCATTTGTCTGTTCTCATTATTTCACACTTAAAGAAACTCAGTCAAAACCTGATGAAACCTGTTGTTATTTGCTGGTTTACCTATCTAATACTTGTCGGGAAATTGGTTTTACCTGAAAACACAACAGGTACATTTTAAGAGTGACGGTCATATCCTAGTGTTCGGTCAGATAGGAATAACCCAAAAGCTGGCGATGGGCAATGTTGATTTTGCAACCTTCTTTTTATCATTTCAATTCAAAATTGGAGACGTCTATGAGCAGATAATCTTTACAACATACCCGGTATTATAGTGTTTATGTTATAATATTATTGCAGTGTTTCTCATTACAAGTAAACATTTCTAACAACCACAATATTGGCTCTTTTATTTCTATGACAAAGCTCTCAAAATAGAGAAAAGTGGTTTGATACGATATAAACGAATAGAATAAGGAACTCTATACGATCTAATGCTTACATTGGAGCAATGGGAATAAGTAGTCAAAAAGTTGTTTAGTGTATCAAGAGGGCTATTTTTGCACCCATTAGAGTGTTGTAAGATCATAAATACACACTTGAAGGAAAAGTAGATAACACTTTGATATGTGGATGATATTTGAATGGC